TGTGTGTGTGTGTGTGTGTGTGTGTGTGTGTGTGTGTGTGTGTGTGTAAGCACAAACACTCCTATAAAGCTGGGAGGAATATCCCCCAGAGTATTCTGAAACCCAAGTTTAGGGCTGATGAGCCCATTTTGTTTTGTTTTAATTTTTACTTATTTTCATTTATTTCATTAAATATTTCCCAATTACATGTAAAAAATTTTAACAATAATTCTTTAAAGTTTTGAGTTCCAAATTTTCTCCCTCCCTCCTGCCCCTTCCCCCTCCTTGAGAAGGCAAGCAATTTGATATCAATACATGTGCAGGATGAGCACTTTCTACTAGAATAAAAGAACTGCCATTTAAGCAGTGAAACTCACGAGCAACTTAACTAATTCCCCCAGTCTCATAAAATTTGGTTGGTTTGTTGGTTTCAGATTGGAGAGTGTCCAGAAACACCACATACCACGACTGGCTTCTGAACCTTCAGGTTTCATGGAATCATCAACAATCTTCTGGATCTGTGCCAATGTATTGCGAGTTTCCTCCAGCTCTCTCCAGATCAGATACACATCCTCTCTGACCCCAGATCCTAGGATGGGGAATACACAGAATTGAGCAGTGTGCTGAGGCAATATAAAGCAATACCCAGTAGAGCTAATTTTGACCGAGTCCTAGTTTTACAGAACAAATCCTTTTATTAAGGAAATTTGTTCTGTGAAGTTTGGATTCAGTCAAAGGGCTGCACTTGAGGACCTAGAGGGCCACATGTAGCCTCGAGACAGCAGGTTCCTCACCCCTAGAACCTGAAGGACTTGTGTTAATAGTACTTTTATTAATAATATTTGTAGAACAAGGAGCCTTCAATGTGTGGAATAGATCAACTCCTTCAAGGTTCTGGTAGATTTCTTCATGTTCAGGTCTAATTTCCCTAATAATCTCTACTATAAAGTTCATCCCTATGGAAAATCTTAGACCCCTGAAGTTCACCTAAAGAAACAATGACCATTAAAATAAAGGAAAAATAATCATTTTTGATGGAAATATCGATGTTAATCAGAAGTTTGAACCTAAAAAATACCAGAAATTGGGGTCATGGCTGCAGAAGCTGATGATGCAAAGGAGATGTAATGTTTCTGTAATTCATCTGGATTTCTTTATTTTTTAATTTAGCTATATTCCTGCAATTGTGAACTACAAGATGACCTTAACACTTCTAATTTAATTAATTTTTATTATAAAATTCATAGCTATCAGCAAAGATGATCAAATAAATAGGGAAAACAAAGATGATCAAATAAATAATAGGGAAAACAAAATCTTACCCCTAAACCTAGGTTGTATAACAGATGGCAGGATGTTGTCATAAGGAATCAGGAGGGCCTTAGTTCAAATCTTGCCTCAAACATGCAATAGCTGTGTGAACTTGGTTTATTTTTCTATGCCTTAGTTTTCTCATCTATAAACTGAGGAGGTTGGACTCAGTGGCCTATAAGGGACCCTTCCTATTCCAAATCTCCCATTCTATGTTGTTCTTGATTTTTCTCCAGGCCTTCTAGAAGTTCTATCACTTTTGAGCCTGTTTTCCTTACTTTCTTTTTCCTTTTTTAACAGAAACACAGAACTTTAACATTGGAAGGGACCTCAGAACCTGCTAGACCAATCCATACTGGAAAGAAATTTCCAGCTATAATGGAGCTGGAAAGTGGTCATGCAGGCTGTGCCTGAAGATCTTCAATAAAGGGAATGAACCCACCATCTTCCAAAGAGCAATCTGTTCTGCTTCCTAGCTCTAAACATTGGGAAGTTTTCCCAATACCGAGCTTAAATTTGTATCTTTGCAAATCTCACCCATTACTCCTGCTTCCCTCCTCTCAGATTAAACCAAGCAAATCTTATTACTCTTCTACATGAAATCCTTTTAAATACTTGAAGACAGATATATTCCTCCTGAGTCTTTTCTTCTGTTTATTTCCTTGATATGATCATAAGCAGTGTGTTTATAGTTCTGGTTTGCTGATTTCACTCTATTAATTCTTGTTGACTTGACTTGCCTTGATTTGACTTATGAGACGCAACATAGCATAGTGGACAGTAAAGTGGCTTCCTCCAAGCCAGGAAAACCTAGAGGATGACTTTCCTCTGGTGCATACTGGCTCTACTACCCTGAGCAAGTCTCTAAGTACTCTATGAAACTCTATAATAAGATTAAGTTGAGAAGAAGGTGCCAGCCTGTATTGGCTCTCTATACCAATGAAATAGTCCTCATCAATCTTACTTGTCTGATCATGTTCCTTATCTCTTTCTAATTATCTCTTGTTTGTTTTTGCCAGTTCTGTGATTTCATATTCATGGGGCCTACAAGAGGTTAAGTAACACCCAGGATCACAGAGCTACCATATGTGAGATTTGAACCTAGGTCTTCCTGACTCCAAAGCTAGTTCTGTATCCCCTCCGCCATACTGTTTCTCATTTATCATTTTCGTGGCACCATAAAATTCCAGTACATTTTGTTGTTCAGTCGTTTCAGTTGTGAATGACTTTTTGTGACCCCATTTGGGGGTTTCTAAGATACTACAGTGGTTTGCTATTTCCTTCTCCAACTCATTTTGCAGGTGAGGAAACAGAAGCAAACTGGGTTATGTGACTTAACCCAGGGTCACGTAGCTAGTAAATGTCTGAGACCATATTTTAACTCAAGATGGTGAGTCTTCCCTCCAGTACATTAACATACTATAATTTATCCAGCTGTTCTTCAATTATTGGACTGCAAGTTGATTCCATTTTTGCTACTATGAACAGCACAGCTATGAATATTTTGTTCCAAGTAGTTCCTTTTCTCATTCTATGAGTGGGGGGGCAGGGGTTAGAATTTTCACAAAAAAAAAACTGGTTCAAAATGTATGATCAGTTTTGTGATTTAACTGCATCAATCAGTAGTTCCATTAACAAAGCAATATAACACACCTGTTTCTTCACAGTCCTACCAACATTGGATTTCATAAATTCTTTATATTGTTCCCATTCTAGTAGATGAAAGGCAGTATCATAAGGCTGTCTGAGTTCATATTGCTCTAATTATCAGAGAATATAATCATTTTTTATTTGGCTATTACTTCCGCTTTCATAACTTGTCTTTTCATATCAATTGACCACTGTTCTACTCGAGAATGTAAATTATTATTCTTATACCTCACTTTACTATAGCTTCAGAATGTTATCCCTTTAGTTGGCATACTAACTTCCAAAAATGTTGCCAATCTGTTTCATGCTTAATTTTAGATGTAATTCTTTTTGTTATACAAAATCTGTTTCTCTTTATAAAAGCAAACCTACAAATTTTGTCTCACTCTTGACAAGTAGCTCCTCCACTGTTCCTAGAGATTTCTTTCAATCTCCTGGTCCTAGCTTACAAACCATTTCCCCTGAGCCACTGCTGCCGGATGCTTGGCCTAAAAAGATGGTTTGCTTCAATGCCACATACAACAATCACTCTAAATTTTTTACAAGAACACTAAGGGATTTAGCTAAGAAGAAACTTGACTGATCCCCAGATGGCATGTAATGGCATCCAATTTCTGGTCACAGACATAATTTTCCTAGTGATATGAGCCGCTCTCAGGTTTCGCTGGTATAGCCCTGGTCCGCCACAAAATGGTCCACAATCTCCCCCAAAGTTAAAATCCTGTATAGGGAGCCATACCAATGACCTAAGTGTAAAGAAAGTATCAAACACTAAGATACTGCTGGGAAAAACAGAACAAAATGTTTTTACTTGTAGTGAGAGAGACAGAGACAAAGAGACAGGGAGAAAGGAAGAGAGACAGACAGAGAGAGAGAGAGAGAGAGAGAGAGAGAGAGAGAGAGAGAGAGAGAGGAGAGAAGTAAAAGCAAAGGGAAAATAAAGTTCCTTCCACTTAGGGGTTAGTCAAATTAAAAGAAAAGGTATTAATAGCTTCAACTCATAAAGAAGGAAGTGACAAGCCTCAGACATAAAACCCGTCCACCAAGGCTTTGCAGCTATCAATAGCTTGGGGATGAAATCTTACATGAACCCAGCCCTATACTGAAACACTAAAAATATAAGCATTTTGCTGCCAAATGTAATCCTTAAACCCGCAGCCCTTTCCCATTGCTGTGACTATAAGGCTGGTTTGCATTTGGCTGCTAAAATACCCTGGTGTTAAGTAGCAGTCTACTCTCTAAAAAAAAAAAAGTTTCGAATGCTCTGAGGCTTGCTTTCTCTCATAGATTCACTGAGTAACAGCTTAAGTAGGAGGAAGCCATAAGTAAATACGAAAAGAAAACCATCAGAAGAAATGAATTATAAATCCCTGGGGGCAGTAGTGACAAGCTCAAGCTCTCTATCCGGCTCTCAGGCATTTATCAGGTATGTGTAAAATTATCCATTGGCTTCCTCAGTGTTGCCACAGCATTTGAAAGGCCTTAGAACTTCTGCAAAAAAAAAAATTGTCTGGGAAAGTCTTGCCTGTTCCCTTCTCATGTTTTTATCAGGAATATACCTAATACATGCAAAAGCCACCCTCATAAAGATTTTATAGAAATGTAGAAAGCAGGCATGCACATAAAAAAAAAACAACCAAAATAAAGAATAAGATGAATTATGGAAAGACTTATATGAAGTGTTACAAAGCTATGTTAGCTGAACCAGGACTGTATGCACATTGATTATGAGGGATGGAAAGAAGGAAGGAAGGAAGGAAGAAAGTAGGGAGGAGAGAGAAACAAAGAAAAGTAGAGAGGGAAAGAAAGAGGAAAAAAAAGCTTTGTAAGTACACAAATGGTTGCTGTTGAGTTGCTTTTAGCTGTGTCCAAATCTTCATGACCCCATTTGGGGTTTTCTTGGAAAGACACTGGAGTGGTTTGCCATTTCCTTCTACAGTTCATTTTACTGATGAGGAAACTGAGGCAAATAGGGTAGAGTGACTTGCCCAGGTTTATCCAGCTAGTAAGTGTCTGAGGCAGGATTTGAACTCAGAAGGATGAGTCTTCCTGACTCTAGGGCTAGTGCTCTATCTATTGTGCCACCTAGCCCAAATGGTTATAGAAGAGAACACAAAACTAACTTTTTATTTCATCATTTATTAACTTGATTTCAATTTCATAAAACATGGCAAAATATTACTTGGGCATTTTCTTTTTCTCAATTAAGCTATAAATGATTTGAATTAAGTGTTTAATTTGGAAGTGTACCCCCATATTTGGTTCAGCTGTTGGTTTTGTTAGATGTAAATGTTGTACTTATAGTATAAATAATAAATTTTATAAAATAAAAAAACTATTGGGCCAATAGTTACTGATTAACTTGATCACCACGTTTTTCTTAGGGGCAGGGGGGGTCAAAGCACTGTTCGTAATCTTTAGTCGGTCACTTCCAATTTTGTCACCTGTAGCAAAGATCTCCTCTTTGTATCAGTCAACAAGAATTTATTAAATGCTTACTATGTGCCAAACACCGTGTTTTGAAGTGCTGGAGATACAAAGAAAGACCCTGCCTCCAAGATCCCTCCCATTCTAATACAAACAACTATGTATGGACAACATATACAGGATAGCATATCATTACTTCCT